CCCCCCCCCCCCCCTGCCACTGCTGCGCTGCACCATGCCCCAAACCCCCAGAGGCTCTGCTTGTCCCTAATCTCCCCAGCCCCTGGGCTGTGCTGTGCCATGGTGCTGCCAGCTGGCATCAGCTGCTCCCAGGGCCACTGAAGCAGGGGCTGGGGCAAGTGGGAACAAGCAAAGCTCTGAGGTGAGGGGCATGGCGCAGCTTGTCCCCACTCATCCTAGCCCCAGCTGCAGCAGCCTGCCTCTGGGCTGCCCTGGCATTTGGGGGGAAGGGGCAGTGGCATGTGGCCGGACACAGGGGGCGGGACCTGATCCTGGCACCAGAACCAGCACTGGCACATCCTGCCCCGCCCCACCCATGGTCAAAGCCAGGAGCCCCACACCCCTAGGCTCCAGCCCCCCCGGACCCATGTGGAGCGGCTGGGTGCAGCATCCACCACGGGGAGTGGAGCCAGGCTCTCCTGCCTCCCCCCACAGTGCGGCTGCAGCTCCCAGTGCCCAGGGCAGGGCCACAGCTGGAGCCGCTAGGGTGCAGCTGGGACACACCTGCCCTGGGAGCAATTCATGTGTTCCCTCCCACCCTGAGCCAGGAGCCCCGCACCCCCAGGCAGCAGCTCCAGCCATCCTCCCTGACACCCGCATTGCGACCACCATCCCTCCTCCCCCCCCCGTTCCCCCACCCCGGTCCGGCCAGAAACCTGTGAACTGAAAAACAAGTGTAAATCAGTAAAAACTGAATAACTTCAATTTTAAAATCCAGTAATTTATTGGTGAAGATAGAGAAAAAATGAAAATGCGGAACACTATGAATGAAACACAGGCGGTCCTTCGACTTATGACACAATTGGTTCCTGAAAACCGCCTCTTAAGTTGAAATATTGTAACTCGGAACCAATTTTCTCATAAGAAACAATGTTATAAATGGAGGGATTGGTTCCTGAACCAAGGCCCGATACCCTATTTTCACCAAAAATACCCCAGAATTTTGTACTCGATCAATGATAGATGAGTCATATAGCTACATTAATGTATTTATATTGTAAATAGCAATCACATTGATTTGGAAGGACTTCTTTGAGGTGACTTTGCTGGACTTTTTGAAGGGGTCTTGGCTGGAGTCTTCTCAGGAGTCTTGGCTGCAGGTTTTTCTGGAGTCTTGGCTGCTTTCTTCATGAAAGTGTCCAAGGAAGTTTGGACAGATGTTCTCCAGGGAGATGAGCAATGCAGCGAACTTGTTCGCTGGCATGCTGTCATATGGGATCAAGCGTTGTAAAGCTGAAACTGATGTCATCAAGTTGAAACAGGGTGTCAATTTATAAATGTTGTAAGTGTGAAACATTGTAACTCGAAACGTTTCCAGTCAAGGAGTGCCTGTAATGTGAAAGGATGAAGGTGGAAAGATTGAACAAATTAAAAGAGGGGAGAGAGGAAAGAATGAACAAGCAAATGAATGAATAAGAGAAATGCACAAAGCACTAGTGGGATGTTAGGTGTGGTAGCACTGCCCCTCACACCCTGCCACTCATGCCCTCTGTTGCTTCCTGCAGGTGAAGTGGCTCTTCTCCACTGTGGTGCAGCTCAAGCAAGCAAACGGCTCCGAGTACAAGAATGTGATCCAGCGTGTGGTGTAGGGAGCTGATCCCTTCTCCTTGACTGATAATGAGGAAGCAGAAGTGCCAGCATTTCTGGAAACACCCCTGAGCCCCACTGTCCTCCTCCCCTACCTCTGGCAGCCTGTCTACTCACTGGTGGGGGAAAGGAGTTCACATTATGGTCATTCAGCCACAGGGTGTCCTGCCAGGTTTGAGAGCAGCCAGCTCATGTCATTCATAAAACCAGTGCCCCTTAAAAGCAAAGAGTACTGTATCCCTTTCTCCTGAGCCACTCAGCCCCCACCCCCCAAATACAAGCCAATGAGCTCTCTTTCAGGTACTTTCTATATTGCTTATTGAAGCTCTTGCTGTTTTTCTTGGTGGTTTTCAGTATTTGCACTGAATAACAATAAACACACATTCATTCTGGCCTGTGTGTGAACCCCTGGCTCTGCCTTTGATCTACAGGGACTTTTGGAGTCTTTATGGGACAGTACTTTTGGTGTAGGGGGTGCTTCTGGTTAAGGGATGGAGACTGTGGGGGTCTCTTTGTGTTGGTTCCAATGAAAGTCATGACACAAAGGCAGAAACCCAGAATCTCAAGATCTCTTCCTCATGCTCTTATGCTGGAAACAAAGCCCATGTGATGAGTTCCTGGATTCAGAAATACCCTTGATTCCATAGAAAGGTCTGCATAGTATTATAGATGAAGGGAGGTATGTCCTGCGCTGGACAAAAGGTGATATGAACTGGTATGGGTGATCTATAGAAAAGGAAGCTGAAACATGGATCCAGGAGTGTGAATATGGACTGATAGATCAATGCAGAGGTATGTGGGGTCAGATGGGGTAGACGTGATGTGCTGGAAGCATGCTATATTCAAGGACCTTTGTATTGACCGAAATACACGTTACGTGCATCATTATGGAATGGCTAGGGATTGTATCCTAAGTTCCCTGCCTGAATGCACACATTTTCCTTTGGTTACCTCTATTATCCCCTTTTCACCAATGTGCCAGTAGTAACCTAGTGGAATGGCTAAGTCTGTGGACATTTCACACCCTGGGATAATACCAAACAAGGATTGACCTGTCCAAAGGAAGACCTGCAAAATACATGAGACACTGATGGACTTTAGGGAGATGTCACTTGTTTTTGACCAAATAATTGGCATGGGAAAAAGAGCAGAGAAACCCGATGAGTGAGGCTGAAGACCTTGAGTCATCTCTGGGTCTTCAGGTAGAATATGGAATGCTTGTTTTACTATCTGTTTTCTCCGAAATACTTTTGATAAGTGTTTTATGAGAGACTTGGTTCCTCGTTGCATGGCTCTCTCATTGTCAGGACAGGGCAGAACTGCAGATACCACTGACCACTGGCTCTGCCTGGTGAAAGAACCTTCCAGAACCTTCAAGAGACCAAGACGACCCAGCTGACTCCATCCATAAAGGTCATAAAATTATGTGCCCCTCTTCAGCCTGCAAGAGCTGTAGAATAGGCTGGATGCCCAAGGTGGAAGTGTGGGATGGGGGGGCTCCAGTAGACCCCTGAAAGAACTGAGGTATGAAGATGTTGGAGGGG